ATGGACTCTTTACTCTGACTTGGTGGGTTTCTTAATTCCTTGTTCATTTTAGGATATTTTCTTTCAAATATCAGAGCTTTTTGATTTTGGGGGTATGTCATTATAGTTGGTGGTTAGGTGCCTTCTGGCTGGTTTTGATTCTTGGTGATCCTGTGTACAATATAAAACAAACCCTTCCCTGCCCTTTTCCATCCTCAGAATTGCTGTGATATTGAAGCCTCTTTGTTGTAGCACTGTGCCACACGATTCATGTCGTGTCTTCTTTATTGCTGACCCTCTCCTTTGTCAAGCATGGTGTCCTTTCCAGCGATTGGCCCTCCTGATAATAAGTGCAAAGTAACTGAGATAGAGTCTCGCTCTTCTCCCGTCTAAGGAACACTTTGGCTGTACTTCTCCCAAAATGGTTTGTTCTTCGGCAGTCCAGAGTACTTTCAATAGGCTTCGCCAACACAGTCATTCCTTAGGTCTTCTTGATGTATTGCCCGTCTTTCACATGCATATGAGGCAAATGAAAACACCAGTGCTTGGACTGGACACACTGTAGTCCACAAAGTGGCATCTTTGTTCTACAAGATGTTAAAGAGGTTTGGAGCAGCAGATGTGCCGAGTGCAACACATTGTTTGAGTTCTTGACTGCTGCCTCCATGAACATTGTTGGTGAAACCAGGCAAAGTGAAATCCCTGCCAACTACAAACTTCTCCGTTTATCATGATGGTGTCTATTGGTTATGAGTAATTTGATTATCTGTACATTGCATTCTAATCCACAATGAAGGCTTCAGTCTTTGATTTTCATTAGCAAGTACTTCAAATTCACCTTGCCTTTAGCAAGACAATTGTGTCAACTGCACACATATCATGGGTTGTTATTAAGCCTTCCTCCAATCCTGGTGCCATGTTCTTCTTTATGTAGTGCAGATCTCAGATGATTTGCTCAGCATGCACATGAAGTAAGTGTGGTGAAATCATACAACCCTGAAACTCCACTTTCCTTATTTGAAATCCTGTAGTGCTTCCTGTGTTTAAACTATACCCATCATAACACTATGTGAGTTAATTTTTCCTATGACCCATGTTTCACCCATCTTCCCCACTCATTTTGTTCTTCCCTGTTTAAATTCCTTTACATCTTGATACCCGGCAGGTACACATCATAAGAACTTGCCATGATCACATCAGAACTCTCCAAACTTTCTGTGTAGCTTTTCTGAATTCCTAAAATGTCTGGAAAATAAAGTTTGGTTTTAAAACAGACATTTCTAATGACTCTATCTTCTGAGTCAATCTGTTCAAGCATATTTGTATACATTTTCTTTCCTCTTACATGGGAATCTGTCTACCAAAATCTGAAGATTCTGAGTTTGGGATTCAAAACAGGTACCTTGAACTTCCTTTCATATGCTTCTTCACCCTTTGAAGAGCTGTCTTCCCATCTTCCCAAGTTGCATATTGAGGATTCATAAGCTAGATTAACAGCATATAGCATAAAATTATACCAGACTGAAAAAAAGGCCTTTGCTAATTAATAAAAACTATTTTTATCTGTTCAAAGATGGTTCTGTGTCAGAGATTTTTCTTTTATCTTTTCTTTCCCTTTAAGTATACCCTGTATACCCCAGGATCAATCCAGAAAACCGTCACTGTCTACACCAGCAACTGACAACTCTCTGACACAAGAGCGTCAGATCCACAACACGAGGAAGCTTACGTGCTTTCCTGGGCTGTAAAACGACAAAAGATCTAAAAGAACTAGGCTCGTAGTCTTACAAATGAATAAATAACACCATACATATTTACTTATATCTACAATAATTCTAGAACATTATATAGAGGTGGAAGGACACTTTATTCTGCAATAACAAAATATTTCTTTGAGATGAATTTATAAATCACTGCAGATATTTATTCATGGTTTAAATGCATCCCTATACAGCCCTCTTATTAAATAAAGTACAGAAGCCTTGCTCTGATTTGTGTCATCTGGTCTATGTGCCTCACTGGCCCAAGATTCCTTTAACCCTATGCCTCTGGTGTGTTTTTCACATGAAATGTCTTTCTCCAACTTCTCTGCTTGGAAAAATACTACTTAAAGACATGTAAGCGCAAGTAAAATGTTTGTGAGCAACTAACGATACTGTTCATACTGTTCGGTGAGGTTTCTGTTTTACTTTTACAAGTTTTATCACAATGTGTCCATTTTTATTTGTTTACTTCATCTCTGCCATCAGATGGAACTATATGCAAAGGTAAGATGCATTTGTCTTTACTTTTCCATTGCTTATACCAAGGCATTAATCTTCCATAGCCCGGGGGTGTGAGTTTTAGCATGAAAAGTTATGGCCTGGGCACTGCTTATGAACGCTTCCATCCTTCTGAACAGTGCCAAAGGGCATATAAAATTATATTATATTTGGCAGCAGCATAAATTCACCTTTTCTGTTTAATAGCAACAATATATTTCAATTTTTCCAAGTAGAGTATGTGTGCCTATGACTTTATTGTCAGTTAATTTACCTTTGCATTCACATTCACATTACATGATAGATGCCTCTCTTCACTGGTATAACCAGTCTGCCCAATCTATCAATTGCCAGGAAATCAAGCAATTACATTGTCCTTCTTAAGACCTTATCATAAACTTAAAAAGTCTAGTAATTGGTATTGGGAAATACATAAATTAACAATTAAAATAATAATTTGATCATCTCCATTTAATATTTTGAAGTCTACAAACATGTACATATAACTTCCATTGGTGACCTCATATTGACAAGGTAAGCCATGCAAGTTGGATTTTAATAATAATGAAACTGAATTTCAAAGCATGAATGAACTCAGAGAATGTCCAAGGGAATCCAAATCCCTTGACATTGTTCTTTACATCGTCATTCACTAATGTATATTGAAGCCCTGGTGATTAAGCATTTGCTGATAACTGAAAAGGCTACTGTTCAAAGCCCTGTGTCAGCAATGACATGGCCACCTGCTGAGAAAATCCTACAAGACAGTCTGCCTTATTCTATCAGATCACTAAGTGATGGAAACAACTGGACAGCACACAACAACAATAGCAACAATATGTGTGTTAACACAAATGAACATATGTAGAGAAATATGAATACTTAACATTTGAGGGGCAATCAATATACTACAAGGATCACCACTGAAATAAAAAGTACATATGACACATACCAAATTTTTCTCTGTAGTTCAAACTCCAGGTGAAGTTTAAGCCAAAGAATAAATGACAGAGCCAGTCTGCCCAAGATGTAAAGAAAAAAGGAGGTTATATTCAAAAAACAAATGATTTCTTGAGCCAAATGAAGTATTTAAACAATACCACGCTTAAAAAAAACATAAAGCACAACAAATAGTTCATCATTAGAGCCATCTTTTCCTCAGCCCTAGGTACCAAAAAGATCTAACTCTTAACAAAGAAAGGCAAGGTGCAGAGTTGAATATATAACAAGGGACTTCCAAAAGTTCATGGAAAAGTTCCATTCTCTCTTCATCCCATTTTTCCATAAACTTTTTGAAGCCCCTCTCATATAGTCAGTATCCATATATTAGAGCTGATGCTGTCAAAAATGTAGATTTCCTAAACCTGAGTAATATTCTCATCTTTATTACTTTGATAGTTCCTTTCTGTTTTCTCCTTGAATTAGAATAAAGCTTGTATTCTCAAGGCCAGGAACATTATTTGAGAAACCCAGGTCTATTCAACAACCACTGAAGCAGAAACTGCAAAGGACTGGATAGGTCCTGAGCGCTTGGAGGTCTGCAGGAGGAAACCATGCTAAGCTCCAGGAGCAGACCACGGAGTGTGAAAGAGTCCTGGGACTCGGCTGGGACGAGGCTGGTCACTCTACTACTGCCAGGGATGATGATATCTGTCTGAAAAGCCAATCCACACACACCGGTTTCTTTCTTACAACACTTCAGTGGGTTGTATTGCACATACAGTGACTGGAATAGAAAAATAAATAACTGAATAAATGGAGAATTTCTACCTAAAATTGCCTAATGTGTGGAATTCTAACCCCAATATCAGCATAGTGTCAGAAAATTACACAGCCAAGATCTTCAGAAACAGCATAATTGTTTCGGTTCATTAACTGAAACAGTGGCTTTCCTCAACTACAGTGCTGCTCATCTACTGAAAATCAGAAAATACCCCAAAACAATAACAACCCTACTGTAGTGTTATTTCCAACTCATTCAGACACAACAAGACAGAGTTGCCCACAGGTGGTGACCAAGGCTGCCGATCTTTGTGGAAGCAGACTGAGCATCTTTCTCCAGCAGACCGGCTAGTGGGTTCAAACCACAGCCCAACTTAACCCACTGGGCCCCTGGGGCTCAAGACAGATCAAATGATCCCAGGAGTTGGGTTGCATTCAAAGAGCTGCATATTTGCTCAGACATCTCTGTAACAAATTGTGCACAACAATTTGTCCCCAAAAGGAAATCAGCCCTAAGAAAACATAAATATGTTGCTCCAAAACACAGAACAGGTCATTAATACCACATGAGCTCCTTCTCCTCTACATGATCAAAGCAGCCCCGTTCTGCTTTATTTAATGTTGTGTTCATTTCCATGAATCCTTCCAAATATTAATAAGCTACTTTCTACTTGATCTCCCTAAGGAGGCTGTGGAAATAATAAACGTATGTGCCTACAAAATAGAAGGTTAAGCTAGTCAAAATGGTATCCCTTTTTATATGAGATTCTAGAAATCTTCAATCTACAGTTACACTGAACTTCAATGCTCATGAGATGGTGGGTAGTTTGGCAGAGAATTTTTTGACCCTTGAATTTCTGTCCTACTTAATCCAGACATGAAGGGGAAAGGGAGGGCCTGCATTTTTCTCCCTCATTTAAATACCAGGAACAATTTTTTTTAATATAATCTCAGGCATCACCAACCTTTTTAGAAACTATAGATGAGAGCAAGTCCTGTATTCAGAGTAAATGAATTAAACCAAAAAATATACAACATTTATACTTGGCCAGAAGTACATTTCAGACATAGCATATTCCTCACGGCCGCCTTCACATCCTTGTTCCTTAAACTGTAAATGAGAGGGTTGAGCATGGGTGTTAACACTCCATAGAAAAGGGAGATTATTTTATCGGTGACTTGTTCTTTATCGGCACCGGAAGAGTCTTTAGCTTTGGGCTTTGCATACATGAACAGGATGGTCCCATAGAATATAACCACCACTGTCAGGTGGGCGGAGCAGGTGGAGAAGGCTTTGCGCCTGCCCTCGGCAGAAGGAATCCTTAGGATGGTGGCGAGAATGAAAACATAGGTGATAAAAATAAAGAGTACGGGGACCACGAGAAAAATCATATTTGCAACAATCATGCTAATAACATTTGTGGAGATGTCAGCACAGGCCAGTTTTAAGACAGCTAAGATTTCGCAAGTGAAATGATTGATGACGTTATCCCCGCAGAAGGGAAGCCGCATGGCAAGCGAGGTTTGCAGCAGAGAATTGACCCCCCCTGCGATCCATGACCCAGCAGCCATGGGTACGTATGACGTCTTGCTCATGATGATGGGATATCTCAAAGGGTTACAGATGGCCACGTAGCGATCGAACGCCATCATGCTCAGAAGAACACACTCGGTGGCTCCCATGGCAAAGGAGAGAAACATTTGCACGCCACACCCAGAGAAGGAAATGGTTTTCTTTGAAGTAACGAAGCTGCTGAGGAATAGTGGAATCGAAGAACTGGTGTAGCATATGTCCAAGAATGATAGGTTACTGAGGAAAAAGTACATGGGGGTGTGCAGGCGGGCGTCAAAGACACTTACCATGATAATGACTCCATTTCCCAGCAGGATCACGAGGTACATGCATAAGACCAGCACAAAGTAAATGGCTTCCAGCTCGGGGTAACCAGAAAGCCCCAGCAGAACAAATTCTGTCACCGAAGATTGGTTGGTCTTTCCCATGGTGTTATTTTCTTTCACAGCAATGATTCCCTCGAGAGTGGACTCTGGGTACAGGTGTCACAGCAGCATCTGGACATGTTTGCCTCCTCACGTAGCTGCCTGTCCGGGTTCGGTGGACCTATATGCACAAATGGCATAAGCATAGTGAGGAGCGCTCAGCAAATACCACTTAGTCTTTCATCCCTTCGCAAGGAGAATTGGGTTCTGAAAAAACAATTTTTGAAAAAAACACATGCAACTGGGTTCACATAACGCATCACATTTGAAATTATTTTGACAGAAATGTTGCTATAATACTTTGACCCATGCAGAAAAATTCTAAAATGTATAAAAGTACTATGGGTTAACAGAGACTTAACCACTTTAACCTTCATGTATATATGCAACCTATTTTTCCCCTCCAAAGCAAAAATACCATCCTTAACATAACAAAAAAAAATGATCTTCAGTTAGTAAAACAAAGTGGGGTTATTTTGATTTAGACTATTTCAGCAAAACATTGAAACCATGTGCATTAGGAAAGAGGATTTTTAGTTATTTCTATTATGGCAAAAATACTTTATGTCTATGTATATATGGATATATATATATGTATATATATATATTTGTAATATCCAAAGAATATTTACTATAGGAAGGAGAAAATAGAGAAGAATGATTCTTTTTAATAAAAATTGGTAATTGTCTCTAGGTAAGTCTGTTGTCCCCTCTGATATAGTTAATGAATGGCAAGCTGACTTAAAAAAAACTCCAATGCACAAGTTTCAATCTAGAGTCCAGCAATAAATAAATAACATGAGAAATCTCAAAAATAGAAGATTCACTCTTTTATCTGCAGTAATAAGAAAGCAGATGCTGTCTTCTCCCTACCCAGATGTCTAATTCTTCTGCTCTAAAAGCCACTAAAAGTTCATACTTTACATACATATTCAGAAATATCATGATTAAGGGTCAGAATTCACTCAAAAAAAACACAATACTATTAGCAATTGGCAAATAATTGGCTATAATTATTTGAATCCCCATTACAATGGAATATAAAATGTCTAAATATTAAAATGCTGCGAAAACAAGAAGTCCTACTTTGAGATTGGTTACCTCATCAATTCCAATTAATGATTTCAACAAAATAACCAAAAAAAGGCCTATACACTTCTCAGTTTTCATTAATATCAAGTAGCTGTCACTGCTTGTATAAAAACCAATTCTACAGTGTAAAATAGAAATAACTTCCAGTACAGCTGACAGGTGAGGTTCTTTCCACTCTTTTCACTAATAAATGATCATTTAAGGGACTAGCAAATAGCGCACCAAAACAATTTAAAGTTTTTGCTGCTTCGAGGATGTTTCTAATCCCAGAAGCAATTTAAAGTTCATGAAGTGGATTGGATAGCATTTTGAAACTTTCTAGTACTTTCGGATGAACTCCCTCAGAAGCAATTAAAACAAAGTTGCTAATACCATTTAAATGAAGTATAATTCACACAAAACAATAATAATTCTTCTTACCTCACACCCTCTGAGATGCGCAAAGGCCTGGAGTTAGGAAACCAAATGGTAAAAAAACATTTTGACATTTGTCAAGCTGAAAGAACTGGGGAAACTATTCAAACCTTGAGCTGAACTACTGAAGGACTGTACGCACAAAATATCGAAAGGCACCAAAGCATCAACAGAAGATAGAAGGAATATACAGTCACTATAACAAAAACAATTGGCTGACATTCAATCATTTCAGAAGGTAGAATGTGACCAAGAACCAAAGGTATTGAAGAAAGCAATAGAAGTTACACAGAAGGCATGGGGGGAAAAATAGGCATCAGAAATTAATGGAAGAACAAATTGAGATGTTTCAACAAATGGGAGCAATACTATACTGTAAGTGCTGGCTCTATGCCAAGACACATTGCTCTCTAGCCAACACATGAGAAGAGATACATTTATGCACTTATTCCAAAGAAATGTGTAAATTATTGAACAATATCATACAGAAGTAAAAATTTGTTAAACACCATTCAGAAAATAGCTGAGACAATGCAGCAACAGGGGACTGCCAGAAATGTAATACAACTTCAGAAAAGGATGAGGTTGTCATTGCTGATATCAAATGGATCCTGGCTGAAAGCAGAGAATACCAGAAAGATGCTTATTTATGTTTTGTTGACTATGACTATGCAAAGCCATTCGACTATGATCATAACAAACTATGGTTAACATTGCAAAGGGTACGAATTCTAGAATACATTTATGTGCTCATGCAGTCCCTGCGCATAGACCACAGACAGTCGTCTGGACACACAAAAGGGGACAGTGTGGTTTAAAATCAGGAAAGGTGTGCTCCAGGGTGCTATCCTTACACCAATTTTTATGCTGAGCCAATAATCCAAGACCACATGAATAACAAAGTACCAGGATTGGAGGAAAACTCATTAACAACCATGATATGCAAATGACTCAACCTTGCTTGCTGAAAGTGAAGAGGGAAAGATGTGAAGTGTTTACTGACGAAGGTCAAAGACTGTAGCCTTCAATGTGCATTACACTCCAACATTTAGTAAGTAAACATATTCACAGCTAGGCCAATAAACAACAACATGAAAGTGGAGAAAATATTGACTTGTCAAGAATTCATTTTACTTGGATGCACAGTTAATGCCCAGGTAAGCAACTATCAAAGACCAACATGCATTGACAAACTGCTGTAAAGGAACTCTTGAAAGTGGCAAAAAGCAGATGTTTCTTGGAAGACTAACGTTCACCTGCACTAAAGGGTGATACTTTCAATTGCTTCATATCATATGCATGTTGAAAGTTGGACAATAAATAAGGAAGAATGAAAATGAATTGATCCCTTTGAATTATTGTGTTATCAAAGAAGATTAATAGTACCATGAACTACTAAGAAAATGATCAAAACTTTGTTAGATGGTATGAAATAGTGTTCTAGCAAAGAGTAATTGAAATCATCATGTGAGGTGTTAAGAGAAGGTAACAAAAATTGATACCAGTTCTCTCTCTTATTAGTGTATAACTGATTTACTTAGTGTAGTTAGTTTAACGCATACCATGTTTTCCATTACTGTAGACAGTCTCACTTACACTATATTTTCCCTGACTCCCAATGCAGGCTGTTTGTTGGAAATTTTGGTAACTTTCTGCACTGCTCAGAGGAAAACAAGTGATGCCTTCTGGAAGATCCTCCAGACAACTATGAGAATCATTCCAAAAACCCAATTCCTTATATCTGGTTAGTCACCAGAGAATCCCGAAATTGTCCTAAGGCTTAAGGCTCTTTGTTAACGGTCAGCAGTGGCATCATGTGATCATCCTGATATGTGAGTTAGTGTAAAACATCAAGAAAGTCATGTGAGTCTCCGCAGGTATGGCTTCAAATATAAAAATGTATAAACTCTGCAGAGCATAAGGGGGATTCCATTAAGGGAACCTGCCTTGTTTCCAGACTCCCAGCTAGTCACCTTCTCAGACACTTCTCTTTTGCTCTCTAACTTGGAGCTAGTGAATTGTGTTCTGCTGCTCCAAGGATGAAATTCTTATTAGGGGTAAGAAGTAGACAACATTTTTAAAAAGCAACTGAACAAGAGGTCTAAATGTAATGTTAATGCAATGAAAGAAAACTAGAAAGGTGAGTTATGCCATGAAAGATGGTATTACTTATTTTGGCAATCAAATTTGAAAAGCAATTCTCAGAGCTGTTAATTTAATGTAAATTCATATTCAGTATATAATGCTAATGTTGACCACATTTTCTCATTAATGAATGTTCAATGGACATAATGACTAAATAAATTAGATATGTAAATACTTTACATGCTGTTACAACTTAAAAGAACATAGACTCCCTGTGAGTAATATTAATAAGCGAGTTCTGCAAAACAAAAAAATGCTAAATAAGGTAAAATAATTGGAAAAATATAATGAAAGATGCAAGAGAGGTACAAAATTTCATGGAAATTTCTATTATATTTTAGTTACATTTTCCATGAACTTTCGAACTCCCTGGTACACAATAGAAAACAAAACATATAAAGCAAAACCTACTTAAATAAGTCTCTGTGGTTAGTCTCTATTCAGCTGCAGAAATACAGTCTCCCAGTAATACAATTCTCTTAGTCTCAGTAGGGTGCTTTAAAAAAAATAGCCAATCACAGGGATATATATAAACCGTAGATATATGAATGGGTTTTGAGGTCACACTTAATCAGCCCTAATCTAAGAACAATTATTTCTTATGAAATGGCCCTACTCAATACGTTCCTTCATGAAGTGATCACTGAAGATATGGGTACTATAGCAAAGTGCGGTGAAAAAAATTAGATGGTTCCTGGCTATTAGAAAGAAAGAATAATATCTTGTATCTTCAATATTTGTGTTAAACAGCCATCTAAGTGAGGTATCAGCTAAGTCCATGTAGAAGAAGCACACCAGCTTGTATGATCCAAGGATTGTAAATAATAAAATCCAAGACCAGACAAGAGAATAGTATTAGAGCTTAAATTCTGAGAACCACGTTTTTTTGTTTTTTCTTTTTTTAAATCATTTTATTGGGGGCTCATACAGCTCTTATCACAATCCACATATACATTCATTGTGTCAAGCACATTTGTACATTTGTTGCCATCATCATTCTCAAAACATTTTCTTTTGACTTGAGCCCTTGGTATCAGCTCCTCATTTTCCCCACTCCCTCCTCCACCTCATGAAACCTTGATAATTTATAAATTATTGTTTTTCCATGTTTTACACTGTCCAATATCTCCCTTCACCCACTTTTCTGTTGTCTGTCACCCAGGGAGGCGGTTATATATAGATCATTGTGATCGGTTCCCCCTTCCTCCCCCACCTTTCCCTTCCCTTCCTGGTATCACTACTCTCATTATTGGTCCTGAGGGGTTTATCTGTCCTGGATTCCCTGTGTTTCCAGCTCTTATCAGTAGCAGTGTACATCCTCTGGTAGAGCCATGTTTGTAAGGTAGAATTGGAATCATGGTAGTGGGGGGGGAGGAAACATTAAAGAACAACAGAAAAGTTGTATGTTTCATCAGTACTATAC